CACACTCCCACACAGGCACAATCCCACACAAACACACTCCCACACAAACACAAACACACTCCCACACAAACACACTCCCACACAAACACAAACACACTCCCACACAAACACAAACACACTCCCACACAAACACACTCCCACACAAACACAAACACACTCCCACACAAACACACTCCCACACAAACACGCTCTTTCCTCCCTGTTTCACTCTCTCACACTGCACACTACTAACCCCATATGCACAATAGAGAGAAAAGATTGTTTAAGTCATGCCTCAATTTCTCCATCTCTTCCTAATTTTGGCCCAAACATCTCTAACATAGTTGCTGGGTAACATAAGTTACTAGCAAATCCAGGTTGCATTAGTTCTTCATTGGGTAGGTAATCTCAAGAAGAGCAGCACAAATATCACAAAACTCCACATTAAGTGTGCTGCTTAATTATCACAAAACTCCATTTTCATTCATGGGCTTACCAAGTGGAGTAGGGAGAATATTTTTCTTTGCACAGTAATAAATAATTGGCCAGCTTTGGCCAATTGGAACAGGCAGAGCTGGAAGAAGCAAAACCATATATAGGCCATTGAGCTATTCCAGTATTACAATTACTACAGCCTTAAGATTAAACAAAGAGTGAGTGATGAAATACAGAGTAATCTGTAAAACATCTGGTCTAATGTTCCATCCAGGCTGTTCTTCCTCTATTGCTGCATTTCTACCAGCTTTAAACAAATACAAAATAACTATTTCTGTACATCTTTAACTCCAATTTTTACAGATGCATTTAAGATTATCCTACCCTCATCTTTGTGGGTGAAACTTTTGCATATACAACCTTGCATGTGCATAAAGGACAGGAGGTTCCACATTTTCTTTATCAATTACAGTGCACACAGAATTGTAAAATCAAACAGGTTGTTTAAATATCTGAAAAAGTGCATACAGAAGCACAAAGGTTTGGGTTTAGTTGCTTTTAAAGATGTGTACTTTGGGCTACTCAGAGAATTCTTTCTCCTCCTGGCTAATGAGGTGTCAACAAGAGCGTCAGCTTCTGGTTGCTTCTATCTTATATAAGACAGACAAGGAAGGGAGGTGTTGGCTTAAAATAGTCTTGAAACATTATTCATTTTGTCTATTTTAACACAGGCTAGAAAAACACTAATATTCAAGCCAGCAAGAAAATCTACAAAGAATTGCCATGGTGATTTCTGATATTATGTAGAATATCTGCTTTACTCCAGTTTATGTTCAAACATATCAATGCTTTGCCTTATTATTTTTATCCAAACTTTGTGGCATGTGGCCCAAATTCATTCCCACTGCACCCAAGGATTTCAGTGCCAGTTATTTCAATGGAAACAATATCCAGTCTCTTCCTTGGCAAAGGAAGACAGTAAGTAGGCTGGAGAGCTGCTGGTTTGATCTGCTGGAGACATTCTATGGGGAGGCATTTTTATTCTGAAGTGCTCCAGAACTGGTTACTCACACTTCACATGCACTTGGAGATATGAGCTGTCTCTCCCAATTTCTTTGTTGTTTAGTTCACAGTGTGAAAGCATCATTCTAATCCCTACTAAATCTTTAAAACCTTGGAAACTTGAAAGGTCTTAATATAGCTGAAGATTTTGAGTCGGGAATTCAAGTACTAACAGGATACCTGTCTTCTGCCGAGGTGAAATTAGTAGCGATTGTTCCCTTTTGGCAACAATTGTCTGGAAGAAGCCGCTGCCGTAATGATGTTTTCATTGGAGCCTTTGGGAGGGAGGAGATTTTGGTCAGCCTGGTCAGAAACAGACCCTCGTGTCTGGTGGCTTAAGCTGTACTTGAGATTAATGCAATCATTTACCTAAAGATTTTTTTCCCCTTTTAAACTGATTTTTAATTCAGTTCTCAACCCCCTGAAGCACTAAATAAAGACGTACGACCCTTAAGCATCGTCTGCACAGCCGTGACTCCCAGCGAGTTCCCCGGGAATCTCTTGCCATCTGCTGGAAACGTGCGGATGTACAGCCGGAATGGAATTTACATCAGGGCCGGGAAATCATGGAGAATATTCGGAAATCAACATTCGGAAAGCTCATAACTTTGGGTCAAAAAGACAATTCACACTCCCAGGCTGCAGCAGTTGCACTACCATCACTAGATTCTTGAATAAATCACATTTTCCCTGATACAGATAATCTGTGGCATGACTGGAAGCTGAGGTTGAATGTAGAATTTCAGAAATGAAATATTTGGAAAAAAACTAAACCCTTTTCAGTTTTCTCTTTCTCAAATATATTGCTTCGGATCACTGGTCTTAAAAGATCTGATACGAAAAGATTCTAATGGTGATTTTTAAAAGAACTAAAATTTTAGATATCTCATTTACACCTGGAATGAAATAAATAAAATAAAATAAAATAAAATAAAATAAAATAAAATGTAGGATCCTGTCAGCTCTTCAAATCTAGATGGAGGTGACAGAAATATTGCAACTTTTAAGTTGGTAGAAGACAAAAGTGCCTGCCATTTGGAAAAATAAAGGGGGAAAAAAAAGGAGTACACTGAGGATTTACAACTTGTGTTTCAAACCAGTTACAACCTTGTCAGCTGCTGCACAGAGCAAAGCCAAGGTCCTCTCCAAAAATTGCCATCTGTCCAAAAGCGGGAAGCATCTATTGAGAAATTCTACTGTAATACAAGAAAATACAAACCAACCCAAAACAAGGCTTCTAAAGCAACAGCATGGACAGTAAGTGACCAACTACAAAATTTCTCTGTGAGATGTAAGAATAGTATGGTTGAGATTTTATTTCATCAAGCACTGAAAATATACCTGAGCTTTTCTCCTTGGTAAGTTGTGCTAGAAGAAAAAAACAGCAATAACCACACAAAACTTCAGATCACAGTTCTGAAGAACCTTTTATCTCCCAATCCAACAGCTCAAGGAGCTGAAGCATTTAATTGACATGGAGATCAAAGACTACCTTGACCTGAAAGAATTATGTTTGCAGACCTAACTTACATAATGTTCTCCATTTTAAGCAGAGAAATTCAGAACACATGAAGATTTAAGGACCCACTTTGAAACCAAATTGAGAGTTCCTAATAAGATAAAATTAGCAGTGGACACAGAAATAATTCAATTAAAGACTGATAAATGAAGCCAAGGGATGCATTTCCTTGGTGTCAGAGAAAACATCTCGACTGATGGGAATACATTTTCCCATTTTACTGCTAATTAAACTGGTGCCAATAATTATTTATTTGTATTTTGGAAGATTTTAGATACACCAATAGAGGCCTCAGAGCTACACTGCTGCCAACTGTCCCACTCACAAACCCCAAAAGCCCCACAAAGGTGCTCAGAAAGTGCTAAATGTGCCCAAAAAAACTTGAGGTAGGTGTACACATGGAATAGCAGAAAACTAAAGACCAATTGTTTTTTTTCCATTTCAAAATACAAATCATGACCACTCAACTCCAGGTAGCCCCCCCAAAAAATCCTAATAGTTTTGTCTCCCTGTTTTGTTTTATTTTTCAAATGTGGTGGGTGATGTTGCCCAATGGTGGGTATAAATACATCAAGAAAAGCCCCAAAATAACTCTTTTGCTTGGGTAGCTGATTTGCTTAGAAAAGTTTTGAGGTACATAAGGAAACCAGCTGTTTGGGCAGGATGAGCAGCATTTCCACTAGAGGACTCTCTGTGTTCACCATCCCAGCTTTCTGTGAGGAAAAAGCAGGAGATCCTGATTTGCTTCAGTTTGGAAGCAAAATATCAAAGCACCACTAGAGAAAAACATCCAAACCCAACTTTACAAAGCATTAAACACGTCACAGACTGCCTCTTGTGGAACTCTGGTTGCTCCACCACTAATATATTGGTTTTTTCTCTCGTTTGGCCAGTCTGATATTATTCCCTCTTTATTATCTCAGCCGTACTTTTCCTGCTTTAGCCACTTTGAGTGGCCCCTCCCTGGGCTGGGTGCTGGATTGACACTCGCCGGACATCACTGCTGGGGCTTCCTGCTGGGATTCCTGGGAAGCAGCTCCGAGGGAGGCAGGCAGGGCCTGTCCTGTCCCACCTGTCCCTTCAGCACCTGGCCTTTATCCCCTCAAAACATGGCCCCTCCAACTCCGTCCCCTCACATCAGTCTCATCCATGTCCCTTCAGGACCTCTCCTCAGGCCCCAGTCCCCTCACACCAGTCCCCTTGCATCAGTATCATATTATGTCATGCTTGTTCCCTTCACACCTTACACCTGTCCCCTGTCCCCTGATCACTGTCCTCTCTCCCTCATACCAGTCCCCTCACACCTGATCTCCCTTACATGTCCTCTAGCCCCTCAATGCTGTCCCCTCACACATCCCATTCCCTCATACCTGTCCCCTGACAGGTGTCCCATCAACACAGTCCCCTCAGCACTGTCCCCTCTCACCTGTCCCTTCAGCACTGTCCCCTCACCGCTGTCCCTTCAGCACTGTGCCCTCACCGCTGTTCCCTCACACCTGTCCCCTCAGCGCTGTCCCGTCAGCGCTGTCCCCTCACACCTGTCCCCTCAGTAATGTCCCCTCAGCACAGTCCCCTCACACCTGTCCCCTCAGTACTGTCCCCTCAGCACTGTCCGCTCAGCAGAGTCCCCTCACACCTGTCCTCTCAGCACTGTCCCCTCAGCACTGTCCCCTCACACCTGTCCCCCGCCCCGCTCCCTCAGCCGCCCCTCCCTGCAGCGTCGCGCTCCCATTGGCTGCAGGTGTTCCCCGCCGCCCCCCCGCCCGCTCTGGTTGGCCGGGACGCTCCGGCTCCCCAGGTAACGGTTCCCGCGCTGCCATTGGCGGCGGGGAGGCGGGACCCGGGCGGGGATTGGCTCTCCATTGGCTGCGGCTCCCGCCCCCAGACCGCCATGTTGCCGCGGGCGCGGGGCACTGAGCCCGGACAGCGGCTGAGGGGCGCGGGGGCCACCTGGGGCGGGACCTGTGGGGGCACCTGAGGGACAGCGCGGCTCCTCCGCCGGCCGCCGCCACCGCCGCTCCCCGCCGGGGCACCGCCGGCAGCGAGGCAAAGTCCGCTTCGAAACTTCCTTGCGGGACTTTGAGCAACTTGAGGCCGCGGAGGTGCAGCCGGGCAGGGCTCAGAGAGCGGCCCCTCTGTGTGGGGTGGGACCGCGGCGGTCGGAGCAGGTAGGAGCCCGGCCGGTCCCGGTGCAGACCGCTCAGTCCGGGGAAGTGCCGGCGCCAGCTCGTCCCCAGCGACGGTGCCGCGTCCCGGGCGCTCCCCGCAGGCCGGGGCTGAGGGGGGACCGGGCGGGCGGGAGGGGCCGCGGGTTCCCCTGAGCCCCCCGGGAGGGTCGGGTAAAGCTTTCGGGAGTCTCCGCTCCCCCGGGACCTGTGGCCCGGCTTGCCCGGACGGCGCGGTTAGGGAGGTGTTTGGATACCCACGTTCGTGTGTGAGGTGGTGGTTTGGAATAAACAGGATGTTTGTCAGGCTCCAGTCATAAAGGTGTGGTAAATTGCCCCTCGGAGTTCCTCTGCTGCTTCTCTTGGGTAAATTTGTAGCTGGTAGTAATTGACTACCATGTTTTATTTACAGAAAAACTATTTTTAGTTACTTGTTTCTTTGGGAGGAAAGAGTAAGATGCTGTGTTGATGAATAAGTAAAAACTTTTGTGGAGTATTTCAGCCAGGAGGGAGCTGTTGGATGATTAAGAAAACTTCCTCAAATACTTGGGATATTTCTGTAAAGCTAAATTGTATAGGGTATTTTTAACCAATCATATTTTATTTCTGTGCAGGTCAATGGTCTTATATATTTTCCTTTTGATTTTTTTGCTGTTCTATGTAAAGCTATTTGTGCTTGTAAAATTTGGCACAACTCATCTGTTTAGCAGTGTGTGTATATTCATCAATATTCTGTTTTTTTTATCTGTGCAGCTGGATTGAGAATCATCTGGAGCAGAAACACATTTCACATGTGAAGCTCTTCACTTCAGAATCTGTCTCGAATCAACTTATTTCTGCATACTTATAATTTTATATAGCTGCTAAATACAGACCATGCCGAGCAGAATGGGCTCAAAAATTGATCTGAACAAAGACTTCATCAGAGTAAAAACACACTACAGTGGGTAAGTCAGTGTGTCCTTTCCTCTGTGTTGTGACCTGTCTATTTTTGAAGTGTATTGAGCAGGAGTTCGTGGTCTGACCTGGTGATAAAGTAACCAGGGCTTTGGTGGATTTGTAATTAATGTCAGATCAGGCAGGTACACTTCTGAGCTATTAAAATACCAGTCAGACTCCTGCAGCATTCTGATCAAGAAGAAAAGTTAATTTATTCTTCTCTCAGAAGGGGAGAAGATGTGCATAACTGACAAACCCACAGTTATTGTGGGTTGATGGATTATTGATCCCCATGGGCACAGCCAGGTTAGATCCATCTCCTGCCCCCACATGCAGTTATTACATTTCATCCTGTCTATAATCACAATGTCATGGTCCCTTATGACTTCAGTCTGTTGACAGTAGGAACAGGAAGGTTTTATTGCAGCAACATGAAATTTGAATTTTCAGGTATGTTTAATCTAATTGGCTTGCTGCCACTCTGAGCACCTTGTGAAATAATGTTGGTTTATTCTTTCCTGTCTTCCTTCAAGACCTGAGTTTAAGGCATTTGAGGACTTAAATATTTGGTCCAAGTAGATCCTAAAGTTGATTGGAAGTGTTTAGACTGAACTTGTTGGCATTTAATAACTGCTTGAGTGATCATTTCTGATATTTTACTGCTAAATAAGTAAATGTAGCCACCACTGTGCATGTTCTTACATCATGGTGTAGAAAAATGCTGGTTTGAATTAAATGTGATGTACTTATGAAAGTCACTTCACACATTTTATTGAAAACAAAATGCTTTCATTTTAAACTTACCTACTTACCACTGCCATGTAGTTTGAGGTGCTGAGTTTGGAGTTCTAGAGCAGTTGAGTTAATGTGGTAATGCAATGGGAGAGCTCAGCTCTGTGGGGAAGGCACTCCAAGCACCAGTAGAACTGGGTGTAAATAATTTGGGGATGTTTGCTGGCAGGTAATGCTGATATAAAGTGAAAGCAGTGTGTCTGTGGAACTTGTCTGTGCACAGCTGGGGGAGGTGATAATAATTGTCTCAATGTTAGAAGTCAAGTCATTGTTATTACCATGTTTTACAATAAACTGTGTAGTTTTTCCTGCAACACTGCATTCAGTCTTTTGCATGAGCTGTGAAGTCTGTAGAAGTCAGTTTACAAACAAGAATTCCAGGCTCTGTGAATTTTGTTTTTGTTGTGCTGATCAAATAGTGTGAGGTAAAACTGATTCTTTTTGGCATTACAGCCTCTATAACTGATATCTCAGTATCTCCACTGCAGTTCTGCACTCAGATTTTGAGCAAGTTTGACAAACTGCAGGAAATCATTGATGCTGGGCAACTTCAGAATCAGGGACTCACTGCTGAAATAAAATGTTAGTACAATATGCCTGTTGGAAACGTGAGCATGAGGAAGTTTGGAACATGTGAGTGTTGAGTGTATCTCTGGAGGCTGAGTATCTCAGGTATTCCTGTTTCTGGGTGTGACAGAGTTCCTAACATAGCACGGTGGAAATCACTGCCAGAGTAGATTACAAAAGAAAAACTAAGTAACTGCAATAATCAACCAAGAATTACACAACTTGCCTCTAGTTTACACCTGGTTGCTTGAAATCTCTGAACAGAGCAGAGGTGCAGTCTGCTTTGCTGTGCTATCTTGGCTCTGGGAGATGACAAGTTTGATTGTCACTGGAATTATTTCTCTTGCTCTAACTGCTCATTCAGAACTTACTGATCATTAGGTTTTCATATTACTGTGTAGTGTCCAGTTTCAAATATTTTTTCTTAAAGTGTCCCATGGGATTGTTTGGTGTTAAATAAGGAATGGTTTTCACTTCCCTGTGCTCTGATTGCCTGATGTGGCTTTAGAGATGTTAAGATTAAATACTGTAAATCTCAAAGGAACATGGACATCATGAGTATGAAGTTTATTAATTTACTTGTAAAATAACATCTGTTATAATAATTTTAACAATTCAAGGCTGATTAGTAGTTGTCAGTTTTATTTGGAGTTTATAGTGTGTGTAGTAGTGTTGACTTACAGTGTATTTTCAGGTTTTGAATTTTATTTAGATGCTTATGCAAGTGTGATTGTCCATGGTTACTACAGTTCCACAGCTGCCTGGTGTCATGAGTAGCTCACAGTGGCAGTGCATTAAATAATGAGCTTTTCAATAATGAGCATGAAATAATTGCATCTGTTGGTGCCCTTGTCTTGGGGCAAGGCATTATACCAGCCCTCAAACATTGCTGTGAGAACCAGTTTGGTCTCTTACTTCCATAAATGCATAAAACATGACTTCTTTGACAGGGAAATGTTCTTAAACTCAGCCTCACCTGACAGCTCTCAGTGTTGTGGGTGATATGGATGTACAGGTTGGCAGGCAGCATATGTATTTCTTTTGCTGCTGCTGTTATGAAGAATGATTAAGTTGCTGCTCTTTGAGAGTGCTACAAAGTATAGATTAAAGATACACTTGAAAAGGTAGCAGTGCTTTCATCTGAATTTGAAACAGTCCAGTTCTTTAAGATGATTGTTTTACAGTTTTGCTTATAGGAATTTTTCTCAGCAAAGGCAAAATGGCAAGTTATTAATGCATATCATTTAAAATGTAAGTTGTGGAGTTTAAGTTTCTTATTTCAGTGTAGTACTGTTCAACTGCTGCTGAAAGTAGGCAGAAAATGTTGTATAACATTTTTTCTAAAATGTCACATAGTATGGAAACAGGAAAATCATCGCAGTCATGTTGGACAACTTCTGATGTATTTGCTGGATTACACTAGGAGGGGAAAGAATTACACATGCCAGTAGCCATTAACTGCAAAACAGTTTCCTAACTGTCCTCTGGAAAGTTTTGAAGGCAGTGGAATGATTTATGTTCATCTCCTGTTTCTTTTTGCACTTGTTTGTTAATTGATTTCCCAGAGTCAGTTATTTGAAAAATATTTTAAAAGTGGTAGAAAGTCTTGTTTCAAAGTAATCAGATTTTGTTTTGTGTAATCTTTTTTCCTTTTCCAGTATTGGAACTGCTTTGACAGGACTTGTGGACTTCTATTATATCAAAAGTTATTGTCACAAATTCCTGAGATAATGTGTAGTTTACATAGAGAGTTCAGTACTGGGTTCATGCTTTCTAAACACTACAAAGGTGGAGTGCAATATGCAGAATTTGAGTAAGATTTTACCTGAATTTTCCTGTAATTACATCTTCAGAGAATTCACCTAATCAAATCTTCATCTCAAACAATATAGTGGATGTGAGGTAAAGCCTCTGTTTTAAAGGATTTTACAATAAATGAGATTTTATTTATCTCCTGATGGAAGAAGCACCTGGATTAAAAAATAAATTATTATGAAAGCTTCTGGTTTGTTTTTTAACAACACTTCAAGCACTGATAATTATAATAAGGGAGCTTGGCTCACCCGAGTAAACATGCATTAAAGACTGGTAATTAACACATTTATTTCCTCCACACTGAAGGATTTTTAAGTTAAGCGCTGGGAGGTGTAATCCTGTGGCACAGTGGGAGTGTTTTATATGAGGAATGCTCATTCTGTGTGATTCTGCAGCTTGCTGTCCATAGGTGGAACTGTTGGAATGTGCAGGGATTTCTGATAAGAGCTGATGTTTTCATCTTCTGCAGGGACATCCTGATAACAAACCTGGATGCATCCATGAGCTATGCTGAGCTCTGTGATGAAGTGCATGAGATGTGTAACTTGCAGCAGGAGCAGCCCATCACCCTCAAGTGGATTGATGATGAAGGTATTGGATTGAAATACTTCAGGGTTTGTTGTTCACTGTGGTGCAGAGAAGGGGCATGAGGAACTTGTATAAACAAATATCATACTGTGCAGTTTTCTGTGCAGCCCTGTTCTAGAGCAGGAAGCTTGGAGAAATGAAACTTAAGACATCAGGGTTGATTGCAGTAGTACCTGAATTCACTTCTACAGAAACACCTTGTCAAAGTCAGGGCCTGCAAAACTAGAGCTGAATACAGAAAGGTGGAAAAATACCAGACTGGTTTGGCTAATAGTTTTAATGGTGTGTTTTGGTTTTTTAAATGGCCCTCTTAGCTGATAGTGTTGTTTGAGTAAATGGAATTTCCAAGTACTGACCTTGGAAGGAGGTAGCTGGTAGTCAAAGACAACTCAGCCCTTTTTAAGATACCAAGGACAAGTATTAATACTTTTAAATTTTACTCTTTATATTTTGAATACCAAGAAGGACAGAGGCACCTGTACCACCCTCAGTTTAATGGTGGTGTAATAAGAAGTAACCTGATGAGAAGGACATGGAAGATAATTACATTGCCTGTGCTTAGCTGGTTGAACTGCATGCCTGCTAATAAAGGGAGATTATTGCAGGGAAGAAGAAAACCCCCTGAGTTTGGAGTTGGAGGATTCTAAGACAGGAGTCTTGTTAAATGTTTCTTGGTTGGGCTCTCTGTTGCATTGGCTTTTTGAAGTTTACTTAAATAAAAAGGAATTTATTTAGTCTCTGTTCTAGTGTGTATTTTCCTCTAGTCTTGGTTAAATACCTGCACAACCTTTCTGTGATTCCTGGGTCTGAGTGGTTGAGTTCCAGCCAATCTGCTGTGTTGGCTGTTACTGATCCTCCTGGGTTTTGTGAGTTATCCTATTTCTGCATGCAAGTGTTTCCACTTATTGCCACATGGAATTTAAGTTCATTTGACTGATTGCACAAACAGATGTTCTCTTTGAACTAACTAAAAGCAAACAATTGCCCATGGCTTAATGAATAAACAAAACCTACCAAGAGAGGAAGAAAATAGATTTTCTGTTGGGCTTTTATAGTGTTTCTTTGTTTTTGACAAGATCCAAAAGGTTTGAACTATGAATAACTCACTCATGATAAAATCCTGTAAACATACAAGGAATATGGATTGTTGATTTGCGGTACAAATAATTCTTTTGTCTTTCATGTTGCATTATTGCTGCATTTATAGATCATCAGTAGTAGCCTACAAAGAGAGGTAGCTGGGCCCTGGATTCATAATTTTCTTATTACAAAATAAGAACATTTTTTAAAAATAAGAAATTAAAGTTTAAATGTTGCTTGACTCTGGTGTCATCACTTGGCCTGGATATCACAAGGCCACGTGTCAGCCAGGGTGTGCTGCAGGAAGGGACACACAGAGGGACAGGGGTTCAGTGACACCCTTGCTCTGTGCTGCCTCTCAGTGCATTGTGACGTACTGTACTTTGTGTGTCTGCTTAAGTGGATTTATGGATTAATTATCCAGTTTTAACAAAAATAACCCTCCCAAGGTAATGCTGATAATGTGACCACAAGCAGACATCAAGAAAATGGTGGGGGGGATCTTTAGGGATATCTGTTCACTTTTATTCCCTTGTTATCCTATAGGATACTTCAGTCTACTCAATTTTGATAAAGTTGGAAGGAATGATTGTGTTGTTCCATTTTGGCTTTGATCAAAATGCCACCTTAATATCAAGTTGATTGAAAGAAAGGCAATACCTGAAGCTGGTACATATTTTACTAATTAAAATTCTTTGGTGGTAAATTTCCCTGTGTGTTGCTTTTTTTGTTAGGTGACCCCTGTACCATCTCCTCTCAGATGGAGCTGGAGGAAGCATTCCGTCTGTACTGTCAGAACAGAGACCAGGGGCTGATCATTCATGGCAAGTATTGCAGAGCTCAGGAACCCCTCCCTGTGCCTGATCATCCCCACAGCTGCTCAAGTGTCCTTTGTGGAGCTCTGCCCTGGAGTTTGGTGCTGAGGAAGGAGCTGGAGCTCAAAGCTGAAACTGTGCAGGAGTTTGAGTTCAGCACTGCACAGATCTGTTCTTGCTTTACTCCAGTATAAGGTCCTGCCAGTCAAGAACCAAAATTTGCACTATTTCTCATGTAGAATATTGCACTATTTCTCATGTAGAATTATTTAAAGGCTTCCAAAAGCTGTTTGTGTGTAAATATATTCAGGAATCAAGGAAAAAGTACTACTGAGAATCTTTTACCTTAAAAATCTGATGTTTTTGTTGTAGTTTTCCCAAGTACTCCAGAGAAACCCTACTTAAGTGGGAGGTTGGAGTGACTCCCTTGCCTGTCAAGCATCCTTTGTGGAGCTCTGCCCTGGAGTTTGGTGCTGAGGAAGGAACTGGAGCTCAAAGCTGAAACTGTGCAGGAGCTTTGAGTTCAGCACTGCACAGATCTGTTCTTGCTTTACTCCATTTACTCCATTTACTTCATTTTCCAGTATAAGCTCCTGCCAGTCTAGAACCAAATTCTGATTGCATCATTTCTCATGTAGAATTTTTTAAAGGCTTCCAAAAGCTGTTTGTGTGTAAATATGTTGAAGAATCAAGGAGAAAGTACTACTGAGAATCTTTTACCTTAAAAATCTGATGTTTTTGTTGTAGTTTTCCCAAGTACTCCAGAGAAACCCGGCATGCCTTGTCCAGGAGAAGATCGTGAGTACTAAAACGTTCTCCCATTCTAGCTAAACTTTTTTTTGGTCACATGGAAAAGAAATATATTAAAGGATTTTCATAATTAGTGCTACATATGTGTGTTTCTGTTCTGTTTTCTGAAAAGAATGCAAAATGTTTTACATTTTGTCAACAGACAAATTGCATAAATCAGTGTTGTAGCAGTGTTTTAATGTTTCTGAGGATTAATGCTGGTTTTTGTTGTTGATACATTCAGAGGAAGAGACAACAGGATTTTAGATGCCTATTTGAATGTAGGCCTTTGCTTTTTTTGTGGTTCTTTTGGTTTTTTAACTTTCAGGTAAAAGAAATGATGTGCTGAAGAGGGGGATACAGCCATTTTAATAAAAAGGTTATTAATCTCTATAAAAATAATCCTGTGAGAGGTAGATAAACCTCCAGAGGGAGGACACATAATTGATATGGTTTACCTGTATTTGTAATAACCTGAACTGCACAGGGATAAAGGGATTAAATAGCTGTGGAGTCAGCTCTCATTACAGAGGGATGGCATCAGGACTTTAGTTCATATCTTGGTGAATGTTAAGGAAAGGAATGGGAATAATTGGGTGCCAAAGGTACCAGATGATGCTTGGCTGCTCACAGGAGTATAAAAAAAGCTAACTGAGGAATTTGAAGGACCTTTGCTCTTCTCTTTGAGAAATATGAGAGGAGATAAAACTAATTGCTGATAAGAGCAAGTAATGCATACTAGGAGAAAAGTACTTGGTTGATCAGGATTTACACTGACAGTCTGGCTAAAGATGAGTAGGGCAGTGGTAATAGTTGTTAATGCTATTTTTTTATCAGAGAATAATGCTAATATGCTAATAATAAAAAAAAGTTCTCTATTGAGAACTTCTATGAGGATGGAGAGAGGTGAAATAAATACCAAAAAGGAGCTCAAATATGATTTTCTACATTTAACTACATCTAACTACAGTAGATGAAAGGTTGACTGTAAAAACCAGGTAAGTTTTCATGTTGATTAGGTTATTAAAATTGTCTTTTAGAAAGAAAAAAAAAAAAGTAAATGTACAACATTAATTCCTTTAATTTTCTGAACAAGGCCAGCAGATAAAGGCTTTTCTGCTATGATTAGAAGAGTTAAAGAAATTATCCCTGAGACACCTAATTTAATGAACTCATTAAAGGTGTAGATACTCTAATAGGAAAGTTTTTTGTGTTAATTTATTTGAAGTTTGAGCTCTCTCAGGCACGAGATGAGCTGCAGAGAGCACAGCTGAGTGTGGCTCAGCTGACCTGGTTATTGTGTCTGTAGGGTATTTCTCCCTGTTTGGTTTTACAGGTCACGTTCAATCACACTCAGATTGTTTCAAAATCCTGTTTAGCTGGATGTGCTTGATAAGGGATCTCTGGTCAGGTTTCTCATGGTTTCATGGATTAATTTGATGCACATTACCTCTGCATCTGTGGGGCCTGCATGGAAATTGGGCCTAGTGGCCTAGGTATAGCTATTTTTTGCAACAGAGTTATTAAATTGTATTTAAATTGTAATTTAGCATAGACTAATGCATTCAGGATTGTTGCTTGTTAGCCAAAGGCCCACAACAGACATCTGCATTGCACTTGGACTGTAAGGGAATGTTACTGGTGTTGGTGATACAGTTTATTTCAGGAACTATTTATTTTGTTAGGACTGAAATATTTGCTTTGCTTCACAAAATATTAATCCTGTTTCAATTTCTTATTTAGTCTTTATCACTGTAGTTATATTCATAGGAATTCCCTTTAAAAGTGAGAATATTATGTAATATATGGATATGTTTGCTGGAGCATCATGTTTGCACTATAAAGGAGATTATGAGTTTGCCTCAGGTTTTTTCCAGAGACAAATAAACAGTGAAGTAGTTGGTCTATCCAAAATGAGCTTCTACTTAAATTAGCAGTTCTCAGTGTGGATTGCTGGTTTGTTACAGAACTACAGACAGTTTGAAATGGAGTTTTTAAATAAAACTATGCAATTGTGAAATAATTGCTTTTCCAATCTGTTACTCAGATGTCTCCATGTTAGGTCATGGAGTTGCTCTTTCCAATAGTTTGTGGTCTTCTGAAGTGCAAATCTCTCTTTCTGTAGGATCGTAGGGCTTTTCTTTCCAGCTCCTTCAGAACAATAATACTTTGGAAGAAGAGTGCAGGAATACAGACTGGAGGGTTTGCATTTATGTTGAAATTTAATAATAGAGTTGCTACCTATCCTCACCTTTGTTAAATTGATACGGTTTTGAGATTGTACCAGCCAGCAAAGCTTGAAATAAAAGCTGTAATGCATTAATGAAATAAACCACATGCCTAATATTTCAATTCCATTTGCATGACTTAAGGAAAGTTATTTCTGTGCTTGAAGAACCTTTGTTCTTATATTGATGTGGTGCTGTCTGTGAGACAGAATTTGCACAGTCTCCAGCATCTGCATTTGTATTGTCTCTGTTTTCCTTTGCTGCTGGATTTCTGTGCTGTTGCTGGAGCCAGCCCCAGCTCTCAGTGTCAGAGCACAGCTGTGGTTCCAAGCAGCCCCTCTCCCTGAGCTGGCAGTGCTGCTGGGAGGTGACAAACATCTCCCATCCCTTCCCAGACACTGAGTGTGACCATCTCCCATCAGCCTTGCTGAAACATCTCCCGTCCCTTCCCAGCCACTCAATGTGACCTCTCCCGGGTGTTCCCAGCATCTGCTGGACTGGAGCCTTGGGTGCTCCATCAGTGTTTCCTGATAAAGATGGCAGACTTTTAGAGCAGTCCTGCATCTCACTTTTACTTTCTCAGTGGATGAGCAGTTATTTCAGGATGGAATAAACAAGGTTGTTCCAGAGGCGTTCGCTGTGTTCTCTCCTGTGCCTGGAGGTGCCAGCGCTCCTGCCAGCGCGTGTGGATCCCAGCAGCTGATTGGCAGCTTTATAACTCAGTTATTGGAGTCTCAGCTTATTTACCCTGACAGATCTTGATCTGATTTATCACTCTTGGTGCTGCAGTGCATTGTGTAACACGGCACGTCCAGCTGAACAATCCCCATCGATTTGTAGCACTTCCCTAACGGAATTGCGGGCTTTATCAGAGAAATTCTTGTTTTGGTGACATCAGCTCCTTGACATCCATGCCATGTTTTAGTTGTGCCTCAGCTGCTAGCTACAGCCTCTCAAGGGAGCCAGTACCACCCGTGCCTGGATACATGAGGCAGAGATGTGAAAGGGAGAGACGGGGGTAACCAGTCTTCCATTAAATATTTGCTCTTAATGTTCGAGCTGATCCTGCCTATTGTCCTTGGTGTCTAATGGTATTCACACAGCGGCATCCGCGGAATAAAGGGAAAATGTTTCATTTCGTACCTACTACATTGTAAAGAATTCCATGCTGAAGAGGCTAAAGAATAAAACCCAGTGAGTAATGCATGCTTTTCTGTAGATTTTGTGTCATCATCGTGGTTGCTGTTGCGAGCGGCGGGCACTGACGCGGGCTGTGTGTACGTGTGCTGCAGGAGAGAGGAGAACTCAGCATTTTGGTTATGGTACAGTCGCTGTGCCTGCCACCCTCCTTTGCAGCCATGGATTGTTACAAATGCAGAGATTCCTGCTGCCTCTGTGCGTAGGGATGTGGCTGAGAGACCTCCTGGAAATGCTGATAAAATTGCATTGAAAGGACTCCTGGGGAATGTATTTTAGGAGGAGAGGAACAGAAGAGTGAGTGATGCTGCTGCTGCTAATATTGGAGATTAATGAAGGAAATGTATCCCAAAAACCCTGACGGTATGTGCTCAGGGCCTGTTTATTGTAGGATTGCTGATGTAAAGGCTGACCATTTAGGAGCATCATTTTCTGAGGCCTTTTTGTTGAATTCTGCTTAGTGGATTGTCATAGATGGCTGTTTTTAATTGTGAAATACTTGTTTTGAATTAAGGGTTACTTAGTTTCTAATATTGTCAGAACGAACTGTGCTAGTTCACTTCTGCTTTACAAATAGATCTGTGTATTTAATATTAAAATTCATCTTGGGTTTGGATAGCTAGTGCCAGCAAATTTTAGGGTTGTTTTGCTGTTGGCTTCGTTAAATAGGAGAATGCAGACTATGAAACCTTTAATTAATTAACAGAAGAGAACGAATGTGTTTTAAATGTTTTAGCACTCATTATGTTAGGGTGATAGTTTTTATTATCTAATATTTCTGCCTGATTTTGCTGCCTTATTTTTTTGGTAATGATTACACTGTGTTGTGCATGTCTCCTGTGCTCTTTGTTTATCTGCTCAGTATTTTAGCATTAGGTGTTTGGACTTCATTTTCCCCCCAAGCCATCTTTCTTGAAAATTTCATCATAGGTTTGAGTAAAGGTATTGTAGTAACTAATTGTTGTTGTGGGCTTTTTATTTTAGGTATAGATATTTGATTTTGCCTTATATCCTGCCTGATACTGTGAAATAGCTTTAAAAGGCTTCTTGCTGGAGTAGTGTGGCCTGTAAATATTTTTCTAGCTCATAAGGCAGGATTTTCCCTTCATTTGTTACTGTATTGGCAGCAGTGATTAGGTTATTCAGAGCACGTGAACCAATTTAATCCCCCAATGAAGAAAAGAACTATTGCCACCATAGAGACTGTTCTGAAGATGCAGATTGGATTGCACTGGATAATTAGGCAATTTTGAAACTGCTAGTAACCCTCTCCTAGATTTTAGTAATTGAACTGGGGGGAGGGAGGGACTGTACTATTTTAATGTAAGATATTTTTGCTTAGGATTTAAAAATAGCTGTGTCATAGTTTCTCAAGAATACCTGAAATCTCTTCCTCTGTTTTAACTGCACCACGTTTGTGTTGTATGTGACATATTTGAAAAAGAGACAGATTGTGAGGCAGCATAAGTTACTGAGAACAGAATTGTAGTTAAAGGTCTGGTTTCCTTATAGTATTTCATGATTTTTAATTCTAAATAATCTTAACAGTTTTCTTAGCTATGAAACATCCAATGAAGAATAAAG